CATTTTAGAGGAGATAAACCACGCTAAAGAGCTTACAACACAAGTACTCAACCCTGGCAGACGCCAAGTGTCCTCTCTTTCTACTAAAATCATCTGCAGTCAGCAGCTCCCTTAGCTCTTCAGGGGTGTGTTACCCCATTACCCAATACCACATCAATGTAATTTGCTTAATCGCTAGTGGCAGCTCCATCCTGAGCGCAGGATGAGGTCCAGGCCAGGTCTGAATCTGGCCCTGGAGCTTTTAAACTTGGAGGATAGCTCCTTGCAACAGGCTCAAGAAATCCTCCTGCCGAGCACAGAGGCCTGAGGACCATGTGCCTAACGAGGCTGTATCCCCACTCATACGTTAGCTTGGCAGGTACGGTGCTCCTTTCATCTTTTGCTTCAGGTAGCTCTCTTTAATTAATAACATTTCTGTGTCGACACAGGGAACTTTCCACCCAGAATGAATGGCCCTCTCTCATTAGAGCCACGACTGTCATGATGTATTCAAGAGTAGAAGTATGATTCATTTCCTTGACTGGGAACGAGGGGTGTTGCAGGGGGTGGGGGGAAGAAGAGTCTCTGTAATGAGTGACTGATATTTGCTGAAGTTGATATGCGACTCTGTCGGCTTGAACTGCCTTGTCAGGACAAGCCTTCAGAAAGGTGATGTTCCTACTCAAGAGGTTTTCCTCATTAAAGAAATTGCATCTTAACAAGAGGGAAAGGGAGGGGTGGGAGGAGAGGTGCTGTCTCCTCCGTTCCAGCATGGTTCAGGCACATCAAGTACTGAAAGCCGGTTGATCCAAGTACAGCCAGGGGAGGATCAGTATCCAGTTTCTGAGCCCTCTTGTGCAACGGGCTCTTGCCGGCAGTGACCCAGGCCCTCCAGCAGGGATTCTCCTTGGGATGTTACGCCACAGCCACGACGCAGCCTTTGGTGGCAGGGCTGGGGACCTTTACTCATGTACTGAAACTCCACAAGCCATTCCCAGATGCTTGGTGTCCCTTTCCTGACACCCAGCTCGCTGTGACTTGCGTTCCCAGTAGTTAGAGGGAAGCCAGACAGAAAGAGCTCTGCGGCCTTCCAAGAAAGCTCCAATGAGCAGGAAAAAACAAGTCTGAATCCACGCAGTGCCTCATTCTCTGAAGATCCCTGAGGCAAGCAGAGGCTTCGCAGGTCTTTCAGCAGCTGAGTTCCCATCTCAAGTGCTGCAGGCCCAGATACCACTGGACACCAAAAGCGGCTGTTATTACTAAGCTAAGGAACCTGAGGAAAGGAGCAGCAGTTATGAACGGACCTGCCTCAAGTCACAGCTCCCTAAGCCAGGAAGCACCGCCACACTCAGGCCCTTGGTAGCCAGCAGCTCTTCAGAAAGGGGCAGCATCATGTTTCAGAGGAAACACGAGTGCTGTTCCTCCAGCAGTGGCTACAGAACGCTGAGGACAACGTGTTGCCGCTGAAACCTCTCATCAACAAGAGCAAGAGACACTAATCCTGGCATCCAGACCAACCTTCCACCTACACCTCTTGTGCTCCCACATGTCACTCTGCCCCTCTCCTCTTAAACTCACTCACATGCCTGATGGCAAAGGCTTGTAACACATGAAGACCCCGCTCTGGAGGGCTGCATTTAAGCAGAGAAGTGAACCTCCACTGGGGGTGCAAGTAACACAGTGAAGCCCCACAGGACCAGCACTTTTGAAGCCACAAGTACTTACAAGGGCTATACAATGAGCAGATGGTTTGCAGTACTCCCTCCCACCTCCAACACACTGTGCACAGCCTGCAAGTACCTGAAGCAAGTTCCAGTGGGTGTGTCTTCACCCCAGTGCAAGGACCTTGTCCTTCTAGGAACATCTCACCTCATTTTCCTGAATCCCCTGGAATCCATTTTTACTGCGTAATGCTGCCAAGAACGTACTCCAACCTTGGATAAGTAGCCATCACCTCCCTCTCCGCCACCCCCGTGCCTTCAGTGCCAAGTGTACCCTCTCCACATAGTAGGAGAGGGCACTAGCTACACTAAGTCTTTTAGGGAAGTACAGGGTGATTCCCTAGAATATTTCCTAGATGTTCCACATCCCTGATGCTGTATCTCCTTGTCTGAACAGCCTTGTTTCAGCTCTTTGGCTTCCCTGTTTAAAAAGAGATGCTCAGTTCTGCTTTGCTAAACCCTATTTGGCAATGTGTCTAAACACACACAAACTTAATTAGTTCAGGAGGGAGACTCGGCATTTGTGGTGACGGATAAAAGTAATGGGAAACGAGACAAGTCAAAGCTGGCAGGGAGTCCTCACTCAAGCCTCATTCACTGGCATAGCACTAATCAGATGTGATGCTACACACTGCTGCACCCAATCGGTGACGGAGCGGCGTGATGTGCTACTCACCAAGCGGCTGCAGCCAGTCTCCCTGTATCCATGTGGTTGGTTGGAAACATGAAATGTATTTTTTGCTTTGCCCTGGAGATGCTTCAGGATTGAACTCTGAAGTTAATGGTTTAAAAAAAATTTTAAAAAGGAAGAGGGAGAAGTGAACCACTCACTGCAACCGCGTGGCCAGGAGTGGAGTCTTCTTTTCCAGCTGACTAGTAAGGCACAATCCATGCGAGAGACCACTACAAATGGTGAATCAAGTATCTCAGCTCCAGAACTGCATGTCCTGCTGGCCAGCTCACCCCACAACACCCACAGTTCACCAGGAGTGGGGCTCATCTTCACTTCTGTTCTGTCTGGTACTTTTTTATTACCAAAACTAATCAGCCAAGGATAGAGAAATCTAGCAGCAAAAGGAGCAGTTAGCACCTAGCAGTTTTGAGGTAAGATAAACATGTTGCTTACAGAGCAAGGAAGAAAACAGAGAGCAATTCACTCACTTCTAAGGATCACAGGCAACTTGCAAGGAGATGTGGAGTGCATCTGCAGGACAAACTGTCTTTCAGGCCCCAGGACCGGTGGCATAAGGGGGATCAAGAACAGGTTTTGCTGGGTCAGGGAGAAAAATCAGCAGCTCTCAGCAGAGAAGACACAGTCACCCTTTGCCCACTGTAGAGCTCTGAAGCAAAAACCCTCAGAAGGCTGCCTGTTCCATACAGATACCAAGTTAGGATGCCATTAGTTGGGGACCCTTATCCCACAGTGGAAGGGATGGAAAGATGGGCTTCGTGAACAGGCAAGTCACAACTCTGCTCCTCACAACCATCACCAAAAGCAGTAAACTGGACTCTCAGGACAGCAATACAGGAGTAAAGAGCTGAGAAAAGAGAACATATGAGAAATGAGAGTTGGGCACATTCCTCAGCTGTCTTTGTGTTGGTCTCTAACAAAAGTTTAGACACGAAATATAAAGAAAAACAAGCCCCACTTTTAATTTAAACCAGTTATGCAGGAATTGGGGAACACACTCATACACCAGGTCTGGCCAGGGCCCCAACGGAGACCCAGCTTTTGACTCAAGAGCTAGCATACTACACTCCTGCCTTGAGCACGGCAAATTTCCCCTCTCCATTGGAGCTTGCACTGCCACTTCGGTCCTCATGTCTCATGTCTCACTTATACCAAGAACAAGCAAGGACCTGCCATTCTACAAAGACCACTCTGCAGGAAAGAACCAGTGCTGATTGCTTCCAGGCTGCGTGCAGTTTATTTAGGCTTCAGACTTAGGGAAACCAATGTCAAAGCAAAAACCAAGTAACACTACTAACGAGTTGTGGATGTCAGTTTAGCACTGGATATGTCAAGCCCAAGCTTTATCGATGTGATAACAACAAGAGTCTTTACCCAGCACTCTAAGGAAATAAAAAGCTGAGGAAAGATTACAGGAATCCAAGTGAATTCAGCACAACATGACACTGATCTGCAAACACCTTACAGATTAGACTAATCTAATTCTTTGACATTTAACTCCTTTTTTTTAAATCATGTTTTCAGGCCGCTGGTACAGCTGTTTTCATAATGAGACATGCATGTACACCAACACCTGCAGCTCCCAGTGCAGGTTCCCACCTGGTACTCTTTAGATACTGTTGCCCAGCTGATAAGCATGACCTCAATGATAAGAAAACTGATAAAAGTGTGCCAGACTTGGCTTGTATTCTCTTTCCAAAGACTACTCTTGGTGCATACAGTTAATGCACCGAGATGACAGAGAGAAGGATTTTCAGGTGAAAGTGAGGTAAGGACCATTCTTTGTTTTGGCTGTACAGCAAGACAAAGATTCTTGTGTGCCCTCAGAGACACCCATCCTTACTCCTATTCCCTCCTCCGCATGGAAAATCTAATCCTCTCTCTTCCCAGAGGAGATGCCAGGCACGATGCAATATGTGCATCACAATCTACTGAGCGAAGGGGTAACTTTTTACCCACCCAGTCTCACAGGATGAAATCTAGATTGAAGCATTCAGGGACCAGGAAAGCCAGAAACAAGAGCCATGTGCTCTTCTCTTTGGGGAGTATAATAGGTAAAAGAGGAAACAACACAAAGCCCCAGTTTAAACTTCTCTTAGAACTCATTTGCTGTAGGGAACATCCTAGACAGTGATCTTGCACTATGCCTAGTACCTACCTTTCTTCTTAAGCAACCCACCTCCACTCCTCATTACAGACAACAAACAACGATTCCCTGGGAAACAAAAACTACGGACAGTCAGAGGCTTGCGGATACAAGAGGCTTAGAAACTAATGGGAACCACTGCAGAAATCAAGTGCAGCAGTGCAAGAAAGAGTGCTTGCAGGCTTCTCAGTACAGCTCTCCACTGGCACGGGGTTAAACACAACCAAGGCGGTAGCAAAATTAACAGGGAAGGAACAAAACGGGGCCAGAAGATGAGCATCCTCCATCCTTCTCCACCAAATTAAAAATCTGTGAAATAATACTATTCAGTAACAGCTGGAGCAATTCAAGGTGGAAGGAGGATTTTTTTTTGCAGGCAGGAAACGTTTGCAAAGATGTACACACTACAGGCAAGCACGGAGCAATAAAGCCCAGAAAAATCTCCCTCCCCTTCCATACTCACATCACTTTCAAATCCCAGTCGCCACAGGTCACAAAAATCGACTTGACGCTGGGATCTAAGAGGCCTTCCTTCGCCATCCACTCGTCAACCCTCTGAAAGGAAGGCAAGAAAAGGGGATGAGTTCTGCGGAAACAGGCCGAGCCACAACAGTTAAACTCAGATAAGCTGCTTGCAATCAAGGAGAAGAAAATTGTGATCTTATCCACCCTTCTCCCTCTCTCTCTTCTCTCTTTGCTTGCCATCTCAACAACAGCACGTTTGGACCTTTGAAGATTTCTGATAGGAGACATCAGGCAACTAGAGCAGAGATGATCTTATCAGACACCTCAGCAGCTCTGCTCATAGAAGGATGGAAGTTGTGTAGCGCTAATGGGACAATACAGCTGCAGTATTACTTGGCCTCTCTCCTCTTTTCTTCTCCCCATATCAAATGGGCCAGTAGCGAAGCATAACGTTCGTCCCTGCCAGTGATGAGAAGTCTACTTAATTTTTTGAAGCTTTCTAGCGGGGCCAAGGGTGGGAAGGAGACCCTAAACCAAGAGGGTCCACTACGGTCCTCCAGGAATCAGACTGGAACCCAAATGGAAACAGGCAGCAAGAGAGATTACCTGCTTTGATTTCTGGGGAAACACAAGCATCCTGTGATAGTGCCCCTCATCTACAGCATTTCACACACGCTCCAATTAATACATCTCAAAGGGGAATGCGACATGGATTGAAGCGGAAGGACTGGGCATGCACAAGCACTGTGTGGCAGTAACAACCAAAGCCATGTGTGCCCTTCCTTTCCAGGCTGGGTCTCTTTCCTCCTCACAGTTCTGAGGACAGGTTTGTTCAGCGGAGGTACAGTGTGGATTTAAAGTGAATCCAATATTCCTGACCGACTTCCCCATAGGGACAGTTGTTCTGGATCCACTCTGGAAATGGGCTACATTAATCTGGAAGATGCACATCCACCTTGGGGATTAATCAGGAAAAACTAACCTAGAATAAACCCTCATCATAAACACTTGCATTATTCCAGCTAGAACTAATAAGTCCTTGTTGTGGGATGCCTGAAATTTTCTGGTGGCAGGTGACAAGCCATCGGCTACTATTAGTGAGGCTGCATAATAGCATTTTCAGTGCTTCAGCCGGAGAAACCCCTCCTCTCTTCCCTCGCTTGATGCCTTCAGCTCTTGAAAAAAAAACTATTGTGCCCCAGAATCTCATTTTAACCAAAAAATTTATTGTCATTTAGCTCAAATCTCATTTCAACCTAGAAAGTTGCAGCTGTATGAATTGTACGGAAGAGGTGTTCAAAAACGTATAGAAATGTTTCCACAGTATGAAACTCCTCTAGAAACGGTGAACTGTTTTTTGGAGTACTCCAGTAGCACTGTATGTTCACCTATTTGAGCAAACAGGGCTTTCCCCCTTGGGCAAGCAGGTGCAGACATACATATGCTTACAGGCACGCAACGCTGTAATATGCCTTCCGGAGAACATCAGGGACCGGGGGCGCAGAGGGGTTGCCTTGGAGGTAAGATGTCACCTCCACAGAATACCATCTTTGGTCTCACGGAACTGCCACTGCCTTTCCGGCAGGTTTCTTTCTGCAACCAACTGTAAAACAGCCCTCTCGGGGGACAGCTCCCCTCAAAGTAGCATCCAGCCTCCCATCCCTGTGAGGCACTTTTGCCTCCCTTGGGTTGCTGGGATCTTACATCCATCCCTGCACAAGGCTCCAGGGAGCAGCTGTAACCTTTCTAAAATCCCTGATGTAAGCGCCCATGAAGTGCTGTCTCCATGGAGGGTTTTAAAGCCTTTAATTTGATTTCCTCACATAAGCAATTGTTGCAATTATTCTGATTAGGAACAATTAGGTAACACAGCAATGGAAATCCTGACAGAGACAATGCATCGAACAGCAACCTGCAGCCTGAATGAGCTCTGCTTGAGGAGGTTTCCTTCACTATCTGACTACCAACAAAAGCTATTGATGGAGAAATACTTCCAAGCTAATTAAGCCCTAAATGCTGTAGGAATTCAACATTAAGCAGATGGCATTATTAGGGCCATATCTGCATTCACACATCCTCCAGATTAGATTTTAGAGGCATTTTCTTTCTATACTACATGTATTATTGAGCATTTAAATAGGTAGAGAAAATTAATTTAATAAGGTGCTGAGGGAGTGGAAGGAAAAAGGAGCTCCCAGAGTAGTGGTCTCAAGCAACGTCTTGGTGCTTTAAAACTGGCTCAAGCAAGAATAGCCTCTTCTCCTATCTGCTGGCAGGAGTTTGGATATCTTGTCAGTACCCTTGACATGAACAGCTGGAGATGACAGATCAATGGTTCAATACTCTCAGCAGCATGTCACCAACGTGACAGCAAATGTTATTCTAATGAAGCTGTAATCATAGTCAAATTACGCGGTTCGATTCTCAGAAAGGGGAGGGTGCAGGGAAAGAGATGGAGAGGGGAGGACAGGACCTGAGGTCAGAGTTCGGGAACTAAAGGTTATTCTTCTTACCTCGAGCACTTGCTGGAGGCTCGGCTGCCCATCCACCATGCCTTGAATAATCCCAGTCAGCTGAAACAAGAGACAAACAGAAAGCAGGAATCAGAGTAGCATTCAAAAGTTCATTAGAAAATCTCCTCTCCTGTCCATCTTCCCACAGCTAAAAGACACTCCTGTGACCCGTGTGGACAATACCAAGGAGGCAGCCACGGCAGAGCGCCCCTGGCAGCTGCCCCAATCACAGGCAAGGGCAAAGCTTCATCCCAAACACAGCAAAGCAGGAGGACTCCTACCCACGCCATAAAACATCGAACTCCCAATAGCGCAGGATCCACTTAGGAGTGCAGCGATGCCCTCCACCTCCTGTACTGACACAGCGCGCAAATTGCCAATGTTAAGAAAAACAGAATAAACTATTATTGGTAAATGAGAAGCGGAGAGAATCCATTCATCCTTCACTGCGATGGGCAGCGAGCGTATGTACTTTCTGATGGCCCATCACAACATTCTTCTACATTTTAAATGGCAAACATTGTATTTAAAACAACTGAACAAAATTTGACAAAAAATATTTTCTTCCAGACTGCGAACGCACTTGTTTTTTCAGTGGGCTCCTTAGGGACAGACCCTGCCAACAGCTAATTCCTCTGACTTTACCAGGACTGCTTGGCTGTTTAAAGGTAGGCACATGCATAAAAACTTACAGGCTCATGGGTCTTTGCCTATGTCTCCCCAGGATAGCTTGAGGCACATGGAAAATAAATAATTTTTCTGTCTGCTTTCCAACTGACAAAATTGTCTTTTAACATATTGAATATTGGAGGTCAGTAGCTTTCCATCAATGCACCCGAGTAATTAAAAAAATCGTTATTAAAACAAGTGCACACTACAGTATTTTGCTTTATAATTGCGCTTTCCTGAAGCTACACATCTCACACATTTTCATAAAACAAAGGTCAAACGCAGCGCAAGAGCATGCCCTACCCCCTGTGCACGGCATCGAAGCCCCCCCGAAGCCCCAGCAGCCAGTTGAGAATTACCGACAGCCTTCCCACAGCCTAAGAGCAACTCATACCAGCTCTGCCTAGTTGTGAAACATAAGCTCTGTACCAAACCACAGGGCTCTGTATTATTAAATTCATGGCAACTGAAACTAGCTCAACTGTTTCTACCTCTCTGTTTCTTTGGCTGCTCGACTTACAGCACTGAACTTGCAAGAAAGAGAAAAAAGATTAAACTTCAATTAAATTGTAATTACACTTAATGAATACCAAATATCTGACTCACTGAATAAGCTGTAAGTGGAAAGATTATTTTCTCATAGTGACATCCATGGAATAGTAAAATATACCTTTTAGGGAAAGTATTTTAATTTTTAAGAATGCAGAGTTCCTCTAGGTGGGTTTCTGAAGTTCATCAAGTCATTATTAGGTAGAATTTTAAGGATGGGGGGGGGGGGGATACAGACATTCTTTTATATTCTAGAAGCTGTTTTTATATTAATCTGTATTTTAACTGGGTAACAGCTGCTGCCTACAGACTTCTCATACTCCAAGAGGCAGAGACATTTAAGAGATTAATGCATGGCTCTTTAGAGCAGTTTTAAAAACTCATTGGCTTGTTTCTTCCTTTTCTTGGTGTCACCTTCTCCATGCATCTACCCGCAAAGATGGGCAGCTCACCTACAGCAAAACACTGGCTCTGGCTCTCTGAGGGCAGCTCAAATCAAACCTCTGGAAATAAAAGATGAACATTTGGGGAAGGACAACAGGCAACTTCTCAGGATCACAGCCAGGGCCAATGTAAAAGCCTTCCACTGCTCTGGATGTCCTCAGGACTGCATCTGCTCAGTACTGCACTCCCCGAGGGGTACAGGTAGAGGGGGCTAGAATGGCCTAATCCAAACATTTCCCATCAGGAGGAGGGAGGGGTGGGAAAGCAGCAGTAGAGGGTCAGAGTCCCACCAAGGAGTCACCATGTGATCTTGCCCAAGACTCCTTCCCTCCCTGAGAGGAGGGAAACAACCCCTCCTCACCCAGCAGGGCTAAGTGAAGTACCAGCTCACTCGCACAAGCACACCTCGCCATGCAGACACCCGCCAAGACCCTTGTGGCAGAAATCACACGTATGAATACAAAAGGGATATACACCTGTTCCATGGCTATGCTTCAATACAAACCATGGAGACTGCTCAAAAGGGTCTGGATCTCTGCTCTCTCATCCTCCCTGCTCCCTTCTGTTCACAGTTACACCCAACCTAGTACATCAGGTGTCTGCAGCCTTATCTGGTCTTGCAGCTTTGATAAAAGTACAAAAGCATAAAACTACGCTATTGTAAAGTTTGACTGGCAATCCCAAGAAGCACATGGTACTTGGGAACATAAACAAGTTATAAGGCATTTATCTTTTTGTACTTTTATCATCTGTTCCTTCAGGAAAAGAAAATAAATAAAAACTAATCATAAAAAGAGGGCAAAGTACCATGAAAAAGCCTGTATGAGCATCTCGCATGTAGAGGGAACCTTTTACTTAAGCATTTGGCACAGGCACCAACCAGACAAAGAATTGGCATCTTTCAAAGGGGCAGGATGAGTTTTGCATATCTAACAACAGCTTTAAGCTACCTGCATGTGCTTTCTACCTTCTCAGCTTAAATGTTCATCACACCACTCATCATAACCAAGCTCCAAGAGCTGTTGTTTTACAGAGGAAGGTGAAGAGAAAGGGGACTGGATCTGGATACAGAACAAACCAGCACCAGAACAGGAAGATGTGCTTGGCCATTGGCGTGGGAGGTCAGAGGAAGCCTTTCATGGCCAGGTGTAAACACAGACACAGAACAAGACTAAAGCAAAAGGATGCCATGAGGGTGCCCATGAATACTACCTCCTTGTAGACACTCTTCCCATGCTATGCTGTCTTCCTCAGGAAGGAAAACAAATTCGAGAGATGCTCCAGATCCGGAGCTGAGGGACCCCAGCAATCCTCTCACACAGACTCTTTACGAGGCAGTCTTGTTGCTTCCTGGTAAAGGCAGTGAGCAGAGGGAAGAGGGGAAAAAAGCAGCACAGTAGATAGGCTCCAGTGTAATGTCAACACTACTGCTTTTCCTACAGAGTTTATCTCGGAAATCATCGTATTTCTACTCCAAGACAGTTTGCTGATTACATAAGCACTTGTCTCTGGTGTACAATCTGATAATCAGCCCTGGTCTTTCTTTGTAGACAAAGAGGCCAATAAATCTCACCCTTTGTAAGTAGAGGTGCCTAGACAAAGCCCTTTACTGGCATTTAGCAAAATGGGTATTTTTCAGAAAACATAAAACAGCTGAAAGTTGCGGTTGGGAGCTGTGCAGGCAGTGGCTCCACAGGCGCTGCAGGCTGCCTACACAGCACACCCCAGCTGTAGCTTCTGCGTCTGACTACAGCCCTTCTGCCTTTCCTCCTCGCTCTGCATCCCCAAATCCAGCTGCACACACGACAGAGGCAGCTCGTTGAGAGGGAGGAGCAGTCAGCACACCGGGCAAGATCATCTTAGACAGTCCCATGAGCCATGGGCAGGCATCTTCTCCTCCCCAGCAGGACCGAGTGTGTGAGAAGGGAGGGAGATGCTCCCCGCTCCCCCAGCCCTGTGCAGGAGGTGCCCAGGCTCTCTCGCTGAGAGTGAAGAGCAGGGGCAAGAGCTGGGATCTAAGGAGGAAAAGCATAATAGAGTAAGAAAGAGCAAGCCACAGGTCTGCAGTGAGCAGAAGCGTTACTGTAGTAGCAACATCAGGTGTTACAGGGACAACTGGCATGCCAACTGGTGGTATCACTCACACAGTCTTCAGGACAGGCGCTCACACTATCGCTACAGGCCTGACCCGCTGGGGCTGCCCAGCAAGAGTCACAAATCCCACAGGTCTTTATGCAACTACTACAGCCTTTGCAAAAAGCAGCTGTAAACGAGGAAGGGTATTTTTGTGACTGTTTAGTAAAATCCTCAGTATGATCAGCTCACCTCTGCTTCTTAGGGCAGCGTTTCCAAGTCAGTCCAAGGTAAGAGGCCCTGTAACAGGCCCCTCCAACATTACCTTGTTCCTCGGGCCTTGCATCAGCCCCCACAAACCTGGCTAGGCCAGGTGACTGTGAAGGGCAGGAGGCCTGCCAACACAGGCGGCATGGAGGCCACGCCGTGCACTGAGCAGTACGGGCTACTCCGGGTTTTGCCCAAGAGCCAGTGGTCTCCAGGCTACAGTTAAAAGCAGTTCCCTAACACCTGCTGTTAACAGTAGAGACTTTCCCAAATCTGGTGTGTTTGACTATTTTGTGTCACAGATGCACACTGGAGGGGTTTTTGCGACCGTTTCACCTGTTGGCTTCAGAACTGTCCATTTTTATTTGACTCTGGACACGCGATACCAGGCAGGAAGGAGGTCAGCTGCAGAGGAGAGACTGCAGCGTGATGCTGCAGCAGGGAAGCCCATGTCCATCCTTGGGACTCCTGCAAATGCACCACCCACCAGGCAGTACACTGCTGCTCAGCACACAGCTTCTCTTGCTCTAGTGCTCCACACACGGGAGACACGAACCTTCAGAGATATAAATAGCTGCTCCAGGCATCTTGGCTCCAAAGAGTGAGAAAAGATAGAGAAAATAGCACTGCACTGCAGGAGCATAAGATGGGCTAAATGTCTCAACCACAAGCTCAGTGTCCAAAGGACCTCCCAGCCACTAATCCCAGTGTCAAGGCCCTAGTGTCTCTTCACACCATAGCACGCTTTAGACTGCTTTCAGCTTGGAAAATCATGCCAAACAAGTCAAGTTTGCTTGCAGACTCTCATGCAGTAACAGAACTGCAACCTTCAGCACTGGGGGGAAGGACAAAGCCGATGAATTTCTCCAAAACAAAACTTCAGTAGGAGTTAGTCAATGAGATGACTTCTCTGGAACGTAGATGACACAAAACTTACATTTTGGGCCTTACTCCACAAGACAACATGTCTCTTAACAAAGATCAGGTACCAGCTTTAAAATTTATCACAGCGTACATTTGCACAAGCACATGCCCAGCAAGTCCCAAGTGGGTTAGGACAGCCAAAGTAATTGTCCAGCCTTCTAGCAACAAGGTTGCAAAAGAGTTTCCATGATAGCCCCGTTTTCACACATTTATAACTTTCTGAAAGCCTCTCTTCTTGGGAATAACACTGTCTGTGCTTAGGGGTTGGTTGGTTTTTTTTTCCCCGCAAAGTTTAAATAAAATACCTTCACCTGTTTTTCAGTTACAGGAGAATTAAAAAAAGAAAAATATTCATTTTTAAAATGCAGAAATGTGGAAGGGTCTAGCTGGTCTTGGAGGGGGCTCCACCTAGCACAGAGATGTCATTTAACCAAGTTAGTCCACACAGGAAACGTATGCTGATGGCCTGATTCCGCAGCCACTGAGGTCATGGAAAAAGCATCATGGTGTCAGCAGTTCCAGTCCTGTCTGGGTCAGGACAAAGAACTTGGGCACTCCGATTCCCCTAGTCAGTATTTTAGCGCCCGGGCTGGCCAACAGTGAAACGGCGGAGTAGCAGAAAAAAAGTCCAGAGCAAAAGAAACCTAGAAAACTTCCCTGGCTGCAGCAGGGAAGAAGTGCACACTTGCAGTAACGTGCTGAATGGGGAAAAAAAAAAAAAAAAACCCTCCCCTGATTCCTTTGATCCACAAGGAATCACATTTACCCAGTTCCTTGCATGCCTTCTTTACCCTCTCATCTATATGTGGGGAAAGCTGGATGCATCTCAGAAAAGCAACTCTCCTCAGCAATGAGTGTAACCAAGTAACAAGACCTCGCTTCTCCAGAAATCACTTCAAGCACCCCACAGGCACAACATCAAAAAAAGAGTCTTAAAAATAGAGATGTAGGTTGTCTTACCACTCTGAGGAGCTCATCAAACCACAACAAGCAAGCACATAGGAGAGTCATTTAGAGCCTCTGAACCATGGAGCAGTATACAGCACTTCCTTACCTTGGACCAGGCTCTCTTTGACCTTCCCCACCAAAGAGCAGCACAGCACAATCATTAAGAGCTTACAGACGGGCTTCAGTATTTTGCCTATTCGCTAATACGGCACTAGTATTTTAATTCTGTGGTCACCCAGGAATACGTTCATTAGTTACAGAAACAATTGATATTAGTTAGGAGATCATAACTATAACTAGAGTTGGTTATGAATCCAAAGCGAAACCTTTACATTCTGCTACAATAATAGAAGACGATTCTCCTCGTCCTTAACATGAGACTGGCACAACACCATGCCTTGCAGCTGCATCATGAGGAGGTGATCCCAACCCCCGGTGCAACGGAAACCTGCTTCCCAGAGAGACTCTTGGCGCACCGGGGAACCTTTGCACTTTACCTCTGTACAGAAGGGCGTAAGCTGGGGATGCACCACAGGCTGAACATACATGTGAAAGGTGGATTCAATCTCCATCGTTCTGCCATTCAGCTTCAGGATAGGGAATTCGATGATTTCCTGAATAGGGTAAAAAGAAAAGTAGCTGTTCATTTAAACCAAACAAAAGAAATGAAGCTGGGAAAGATCCACACCACTAAGGTGGCAGCAAGAAGAAGGGGCTGATGGTCCCAAACAGAAATGAGCCCAACATGAAACCTCGCACTATGAATGGGAAAGTCACACAGGAGCACAGAATACGTCTAGTGCCGTTAGCGTGACGGAATATGGTGTTGACACTCCTTACGTGCTGGCCTCAGCCAGGACGTACTGGTGGGTCTCTGTGCTCAGCGCAGCAACTGCACGCGCTGCTGCCTCAAACTGAACCTTTCAAGAGGAAGACAACGTGGCACCACCCGCACACACTACCCAGAGAACATGGAGACACGCTTGCAATGGGTTCACTTCTGGTTAGCAATGACATCCCAGACGCGATGACCTCCTGATGATCGGTTCCACCCTCTCTACCGCTCAGTCCTTTTGGAGGACACCAGACAGGCAACAGGAGCTCCTTAAAAATTTGCATGCTATTGCATGAAGCACCTCCTTCCCAGGCAAAGCTGAAACAAAAGCTGCAAGGAGCAGCGCTCTCCTCTAACAGGGTGAGGAGAGCAACTGTAAGTCCCCCTGCAAAAAACCACCCCTATGGGATACGGCACAGTAGCAGGCCCTGCTTTATTTTCCTCTCTATAGCCAATTTATGCTGATAGGGAAATAAAAATGTTCTTCATCAGAAGAATGTTCAATTATTTGAATAATCAGCAATCAAAAATTTACATGGACCTGTTAATAAAAAGTTTAAACAAATCCAGTTACGATGGATTTCTCAATTATTAAAAAATATACATGAAATTACAAAAGCCAACCACTGAATAAAAGCGATAAAATCCTTTGTGTTCACCCCCCTCCTTCCCCACTCCCTCTCCTCCTTCCAGTTTAATGCAAGAGAAGTGACAATTTGTTTGGTGTCTTTAAAGAATAATTTGTCTATGTTATTTAATAGAGATGCATGGCACCAAGGTTCTGGAGTGCAAATGAGCCTGCTGAGTGATATCCATGCAACAAGCCTCTCAAATCACTTCTAGAGAGAAAGAGAGAGAGGGAGAGAGAATAAAAAAAATATTGCTTTTTAATATTCAAAAACAGTTTGCAAAATTTAATCAAAGCAGAGGAAAAGCTAACATTTTTACCACTTTGACATTTTTATTAGCGCTTTCATAAATTTTTAAAACATGAATGGAATTAGTTTAACAACAAAAAAATGCCTGAAAACATCTGGAAGAGACAAATAAGAAATAATAATAAATAAATAAATAAATAAGTCCAACTCCTGCGAGTAAAATTAGCATGTGGAAAATGCAGTTGCTGCAGAGGACTAACAATTTTTGGACCCTGGCTGCAACCCCCATGACCCACAAGTGGAAATTATCGTGAGGTCATATATATGAGCTGATGACATCATCACCACGGCAGCCAGAGGGAGGGCAAAAGGATGGGTAGATAAACAGAAACAACAAATAATTTAGACAGCCATCGGAAACACCCATTTCCACCTCAGGGAGAGCACAGGAACACAGCACCCACCGTAAGCACAACAGCTCCCGGGAGCAGCTCAGCCGCGGGCTGTGCCAGCAGGGCACGGTCAACGCGGCCACACGGGAAGCATACCCCAGCTGAGAGGAAAAGTTAGAAAAAGTTCACAGTGATGAAGTGCCCAGGCGTAGACGTCGAGTAGTCAAACAGCAGACAACACAGGGCCTCACGGTTTCCCCGCTGCCAGCTCTGCCACACTCGTATGCGCTGCATCGAGGCGATTTGGGTGCATCCTCTCTCCCAGCTGCACAGCCATGCAAAAGGCCAGCCCTAGCGACCAAGCTTCCCTGCCCCTCAAAGGCACACACCACAGGCTGTGCCTGGAAGGGGAGGAGGATGTACAAAGGCAGAGAAACATGCTGTTCCAGCTCTGCAAAATGCCCGAGCATCACCCAGATCGTCTGCTGTGGGAAGTCAAACTCACCAACTTCAGCCACCCAGAATTACCAGTGGAAACAACAGAAACTGGTGATTGAATAAGGAACGCTGGACAGTTGAGTGAATTTCTCCCGTTGAAATAACCACAACAGATGGACACTAAGGGCAGCAAATTTCTGTTCAGAAGGAAAGCAGACTGTAAAGTTTGAAGCAAACGGACAGGATGTCCTAACAGAGCCAGGCTTAACCCCAGGCTGGCTAACATGTGTTACAACCCTCTCCGCCAAATACTGCGCTCCTCCCTCAAGCGGTCTGTAAAAGGGGCTGGGGAAACCCTTTATCCTTTGGGTCTGCACCCCGCGCCAGGGGCATCTTTGAAGTGGGCAAGTCCACAGCAGAGCGAGACGAACGTCCTGCCTCCCAGAGAGAGGCACGCACAGATTCGATTTCACAGCAAGCCTGCGTGGCAATGCAGACATCAGTCCTAAGGGAACAGAAATATCCTCAGGGGCCATCAAGTGGCTGCATGCAAAGAGAGACTGAAAGACAGCCGGGCCGGCTGATCTGATACACAAAGGCGTCATTTGCCTTCCAGAACCAAAGGCAAAAAGCACTTCCAGGAGGGTCGGATTAAAACAGACGGAGGAAATAAAAAAAAAAACCTGTACTAAGAAATGTGGAAAATTTAACTATATCAAGAATTACTGCAGGTCTGTGGGAAATATGCAACCAGGGAGCGAGGGTGGAACCTGAGCAGCAACTTGAATGTCTTGGGAGAAAGAACAGCAGCTCTTTTTGGGCTTATTTGGTCAGTTTTTCAGGCAAGTGGTAAAGGACCTTTCCCAAAAGGCTGTTTATCTGCACGCTTCCTATAGCGAAGATTTTTCCAGTCGCTGGCAATGTTTGCTCCACTGGTATCTAAGGCAACAGATACCAGCCCCATGAAATCAGCCCCACTCCTCACTAACGACGTTAGCCAGTCCTGCAATGAAATTTAACCTGTGACACTGCTGTACTTTTCATTTAAACTTTCATTTGGAGAGAAGCAGTGTTTGGAGACCCTGCAGTTTGTCCTGCTAATAAAGACAAGTGTTGGGACCTTTAAAGGTGCCATTCATCTTTTGCCTTTATTAAATTCAATTTTCTTAAGCCCATGATACATCATGAAATTAAGAGTTGACATTCCTGCAGAAACAAAAATATCTATCAAACATAAACAGAAAGAGGAAAAAAAAAAGAGGCCTCTACTACCAAGAATTTATGGCTTAAAGTTGATCTGTTTCCACTTTTTTTTTTTTATTTTTACAAGCATATGGTTTGTTTTAGATATCCAAAATGTTATTACAGATCTAGAATTTCATTAGTAATTATTATGAAATGGTGAGAGCTGAGACACACACACACACACCCCCCCCCCCCAACAGACCGTGATTCAGAAAGGCAGCCGGGCACGCTCTCACATTTCACAATAGCCTGGTGAGCTTAAAATGCTCAGCTCCATCCACACAGGCAAGGACCTTCTTTGCTTTTTTCCAGGTGGGGAAAGGTGGAGGGAAGCAGCGCAACAGAATTAAAAGGAGAGGTTCGCTGACATTTGGTTTCTTTTATCAGAGTCTGATCATTCATAAGAGCTACCCTGAGATCCTCACACATTTCCATTTCCAACACTGACTACACGTGTGCCAACTACCGCAACGTCTTGCACCAGCAGCGTATGGGTCTTCTAAGTCATCTGCCCCCCGCCTCGACCCCCAGCGTTTCCTCACAGCACAACCAGGAGTTATGGATGTGCTGAAATAACGCTGAGGGTGTCCAGAGGCTGCAAACAGCCACGAGGTACCAGAAGAACAAACGTACCCATTTGAATTTTGCAAGCACTGCAATTAGGTACTTTATTTAGCACTGCAAAGTAACTCGAAAGGAAATCCAGGATCCAAACCACCAGCAATAAATAAGCAGCTTTTTATTTTCCTTTCATTATCATGAAAAGTTGAACATGTTTTGTGTTGAGAAATTCTGCACGCAGCTCCCAATTACAGGCATTTGCATTTATATTGTTGGAACACAGAGCTCCTAAAATCAATATTAACCCGCTTAAAGAAAAAGACATTGCCACCCTGTCCCTCCTCTCAGCTGCTCCCCCAAATGCGTTCACAATAGGAACGTACAGAGCCGTAGGCTTTTAATATCCACTACCAGGTCCACTGTCTTTACAACAATCTTGTATTTATGATTTTGTGGTACTTCAAACAAATCTTTGTGACAGCTCGCTCAGAATTCCCCCCCTCCCCCCTTTTTTTTTTTTTTTTTTAAAAAAAAAACCTTCCAAAAAAAGACGAACCAGGTGCAAGTCTTCGGTGTAACCTGGCTGTCCCATGACAGCGGTCCGAGGAGCAGCAAGTAGGCTGCAGCGTAACTGCACAATGCCTATGAATTTCCTTTTCAAAGGGATTTGAAAAATTCATAACAGCATGTGAAATCACTGCTACAAACCCAGCCTTTTCCTACCCAACCACCCTAAATGAAAACCCCCTCTCTTTAACACCAGAAAAGGGATGCAAGAATTTAGCTGCCTTGATTTTCTTGATAATAAATCAACAAGCACATGACTATACTCACTAAAAGCCTTCCTGGAACAGCAAGATCTCCAGAGTTTAGAAAAGCAAGCAGCAAAAGTTGCACTGCTTCCCCCAGAGGGATCTCTTTGCTTATCATCTTGCATTTGTGGAGCAATAACATTACTAGACTAAAACAATACAACGCAGAGCAAAAACTTCCTGCCCTCAAAACCTTTTAATTCAGAAGCCCATGTAAAAAGTGGACAGAGCTTACTTCAGGACAGGGATTTATATATTTGAGGAAGATCTTATGGCCATTCAGTTGAAAAACTAGTAGAGAACAATTTATCCCCTACTCCCACCCCCATCTGAAGAAGTTTAATAAACACCAGTATAAAAGATGCCCATAAAAATCAGAGCTGACTGTTCAAAACGCAATAAAAACAAGCAGATGTTTTAAGAGAAAGGGATTTTTTCCCCCGATAACAAAAA